GGGGGGGGGGGGGGGCTGGTGGTCCCTTGGGCTCCTGCAGCGATTCCAGCCAGGCCCGCTAGGCGCCTCAGCCAGCACGCCCAGTCAGGAGGTGTTATTTTTCTAGGCTATGAATGAAGCTACAGTGTAAACCCACTTAGACTTCTGTATGGTGGTGTGCTGTGTCAGAGAGCTTGGTAGCACTGAAAAAGCTGCATAGAGTTCAGCTGGGACTCAAGATCTGACTGTGTCATTATTGAAAATCTTTATAGAGCCTCCTTTGGCAGTTTTTGATGAGGCAAAACCTTTCTGTGATTTTTGTACTTGAATTCTGACTGCAGTGCCAATGCCACATGATAACCTTTCTCCAAGATGTTTACAATCAGAACTAGTATTCATAATGTGATTACCTTTGAACTAAACTCAAAACAAAGTTGCAGGGTGAAGTGACAGAAGATTTGGCCAGTCTGACCGGGTGTTACTGCTGCACACGTTACACGACTGTCTGCTCATCTCCCCTGCCTCTTGTTCTGTTGTAGTAAGTCCTCTGGGTAACGTGCTGGGCTCTAAACATAGTGAGTCTGACTTCCTCTGACCACCCAAGGTATTGCTGCTTTTTCCCTTCCTCATGTTCAGAGGGTGTGGGAAGGCTGCAGAGACTGGCAGGCTCTGCTGTTCTGTGCAGAGCAGCTTCAGTCTCACAAGAGCATGTAGCTGCAGGTGCATCATGGTACTTCAACACCAGGCCAAGACCACAGACCTTCTGCATCTGCTGTGTTAAAGGGATCCCAGGGAAATGTGCTGGTGTTGAAGGGGGAAGGGTGAGGGGGGTCAAGGTAGGAGGCGACTTTCAACCAATGTTCAACTGAACTGAAAATGGTTCTGGTCTTTGAGAGGTTTGGTTTTGGTTTTTTTTGCCTTGAGTGTATTATTACCTTTCAGGGTAATGCTTTCTGTGGCAGTTGGCAATGGTTTTTCTTGTACACCAAAGCCCAGCTTGTATTTGGAAGGGTCATTCAGGGTGCTGCAACGTGCATTTTATTCCCTGTACGTCCCTTGGCCTCAGCCATACACACATTCTTATCCCCCTCACTGACAGATTCTGTGTGTTCGCTGGTTGAATGCTTCCTCAGCCTGCCACAGGCCGTAACAAATGTGTGTTCACAGACCACTTTCCTTGCACGCTGGTTTCAGATTTGAGCATCGATGCCATGGATGTAGCAGGAGAGCAGCAGCTGGATGTGGAGCACAATCTGTTTAAGCAACGTTTAGATAAAGCTGGCAATCGTGTGACTCCAGAGGCCGAGCGACACGGTAAGATGTTATTGTGCCTTTCCTGGATGGGTGCTGCTCTCATAGTATTTCCATCTCTGTATGCCTGTTTTGAGATTCACGGGAACAAGTGACAGCTGAAGAGCATTTCAATACCACAAACTCATGAAGAGTTTATAAGCACACAAATCTATTGAACTGGCAGATCAGGCAAACTGCTGTTATACTCACTACTTCTGTGAGGCGAATCTTTGCCTAGTCCCTCTGAAATTGTGACAGGGAGTCATGGATGCCTTTCAGGCATAAAGCTGCTGAGTTAATGGTCTTCGACTAGGAATCAAGCACCAGTTCTGGCACAACTTGGCTTTGATTGTATCTTTAAATCACAGGGCTCACAAATGAGACAACGTGGTTAGAGGAGAGAGCCTCTCTCCAGGGAGGGCTCCAGTGACTGAACCCTTAAGCCTAAATGTGCACCTCACAACGTTTACTTCGTGTTAATGCATACCTGATGAATATGTTACAAATTATAGCAAGTAGTAAGAGGTCCTTGGCTACATTTTCCAGATGTTGTGTCTCATTGTTGTACTTTGACACAAACCAGAAAGGATTCTGGCAAAGAGTTGCATTCTAACAGTAATACTATCCTGACTTTTCCACGGTTGCTTTAAGAGACTCCATGTATTGTACAGGTGTTCTTGTAGAAATGGTGAGAATCCTGGCTTTGAGAAACCATAGCAATGATTAAGCAGTCTTCTGTCTCCCTGATGCTATCTTCTGATGTAATTACAAGATTAAAAGCCATATCACTTTTTAAACACTTATTTCCGAAGTGCACTTTCAGCTGCTGTGAATGTTGTAAGCTTTAAACACCTGTGCGAGACTTTCTTGCTAATAATGAGTTTATTTTCATAAAAGTTTATTTACTTGATCATAACTACCATAAAGTATGTGACTAAAGAATTAAAGTTAGTGATTGATTTTCATGCGTATTTCATACTTTCTAATTAAAATATCTTTTTTGCTGCAGCTAATGCGAAGTACAGACATCTTTAATACTCCCTTCCATCCACCTGTTATACTTCCCAATCTCGACAAACAGAGACCTGATGACGCTTTATCACCTCAGCAGTGTCTGACTCTGTAGCTTATCCCCTTCACCAGCATTAGCTATCCAAGGAGCCACCTTTTCAATGCTTACAGAGCAGTGCAGCAGTGCTTGGACAGGGAGCCTTAGAGGACTTTTGTAACCCCAGGACTTGGTCCTGGCCTTCAGGGTTTGTGAGCTGAAGCAGCCTGATTCTAAGGGGGCCTCTTATACTAGGAGCCAGTGTTCTTGAAAATTTTAGATGCACACTTCCTTGGCTCACTTATTCCTAACTCAGAAACTTGTGGACTTCTAGTATTTATTTTGGTTCTTGAGAAAACAGAAGCCCTGTTTGAGTTTTCTGTAGGCATCTCTGCCCTTCGGCAGGTTTCAGCTGCCACCAGTTCTCATGTCCTCTGGTGCAAGTCCCTCTTCAGGCTTCTGCACATAAGAGCATAAAACTCCCATGAATTTGTGCCCTAGCCATACTGCAGCTGCGCATTCAACACACACATGGCGCAGACATGACAGAATTGTTAAGCCACGAAGAAGGTAGCAATTCCTTGGAGATTTCTAGTGAGCAGTGGCACACTTGTGCCTTGTCAGCATTGTCACCCTGCAGGACTGGTGTCAGTTTTCCACTCAGGAAGCTCCCACTCTGATCTTGTTTCACAGCAGTATAAAACTGTGTTCCGTATATGTATTGGGATAGGGTTATGCATTATGCACTGTTGACTGCTACATAAAATTTTGTTTGTGTAACAGGTCCTGTATCAGTCGCAATTTACTGATTGGGTCTACTTTAGACAAATGTTTTGACAAAGCCTTTATGCAAGTAACATCTGATCAGCACTTCAACAAGGCTTACAGATAGCCAGTTCCTTCTATGGAGGGTGTTCTCGAGATGACAAATGCTACTCTGCTTCTTGGTCTTGCTTCACACCTCAGCAGGCTCTATGCCTACCATTTCAGTTGGGCTTTGGTTGCAGGATACGCAGCTTCCAACACAAAATCACTGCGTTCTTGTGGAGAACAGAACAATAGTACAAGACAGTGTTTCTAGACATGCCTCCTCACTTGAATCCTCTTTTTGTCTTAGAGCTGGGGAAGGAAGAAGTGGTGTTCGATCCAAATTCTTTGGATGCCAATCGTTGCGAGAGCTGTTATGGGGCAGAGTCAGAGGACATTCGGTAATCTTTACCCCTTTCCATATCTTCTAAGCACTTAATACGGTTAAGTTGCATGTGTAGGGGTTTTTTTCAAAATGTCTATGAAGACCTGTGCAATGAAATCCTCCTGAGCACATGTTCAGAGAATGATGATGACTGTTGTGGTTTTGGTATGCCTTTGGAAGCTGTAGTTGTGATTGTTAAGAACGTGAAGTATTAGGTTGTCTAGTTTGTCTACATGCCTGTTTGAGGGCAGTGCAACTTGCACTACATTTGCAGTAGCACAAAGACCGTATCTCAGCAAACAGAATCTTTTCTGGGGTTATTTGGTGTCCAGAAGGGAGCTGTGTAAATTATTTCACCATTATGTGAGCTGTCTTGGAATAAAACCTGGTTATGGCTTTGCCTTCTTACTTCAGCTGCAGGCTTTGCATCCTTACATGGGCAAAGACCAGGCATTTATCACTCATACAAACTGGTGTCTGTTGGTGTTTCTCCTTCCTCCTACCTGCAAAGTTGTGGAAGAATGGATCCGTGATAGTCCACAGGTTCTGGACTGTTCTAATCCTTTACTATTATTGTCTCTGTAGTAACTTGGTTTGTCCCATCTGTCGAGTTGTGTCTCCTTCCCCAGAGATGTTTCTGTCCTGAAGGATTCAAAATTCCCACCTTCAACTTTTTCTCTGGCCCAGCAAAACACAGAACCCAGAAAGAAAACTGTTTTTTCCAGTGTTTACAGGGGTAGAAAAGTAATTAAGAAAATTTCTCACTAACCCTCCCTCCAACGTTGACAGTCTTGCCCTAAAAAGAGAGGAAAGGAGGAGTAGAAGCAGGCAGATGCTTTGTTGACATGGGAAAGTTCCAAACTGCTCAGAGCTGTGGGACACTGCTGTTTTTTTTGTAAAAAAATTTCTTTGCTGAGGGGTGACTTGGCTCTCTGAATGGACAGGCAAAGCTCTCTTTAGACTCAGGCACGGCATTAAACCAGCTTGCACCCACATGCCAAAATCTCTAAAAGTACATCAAGAAGCTTGAACCCCTTCAGGAGCATTAGGCCACCTTTCAAAGTCTAATCCCTGATGTCTGCTTTATTGCTCTGTTGAAGAAAAATCCACCAAGGATGCAAGTCTTCAGCTGGAGCATCTTTTTATAGCCCTAACAATGGTAAGATGGTGCTTGTGCTTTTGCAGGTGTTGTAATACTTGTGACGATGTCAGAGAAGCATACAGGCGGCGAGGCTGGGCCTTCAAGAACCCGGATAGCATAGAGCAGTGCAAGAGGGAAGGGTTTAGCCAGAAAATGCAAGAGCAGAAGAATGAGGGCTGCCAAGTGTATGGTTTCCTAGAGGTCAACAAGGTGAGAGATGAGTTTTGCTGTGAACCTGTTTCATGATGGTGACAACTGTGAAAAAGCAGAGTTGGGGCATTCCTCTCCTTTTTCAGCTTTAGGTGTTCACAGGACTGTAATAGAATAACCCCTGGGCACAGCAAGGTCCTTGTGCCCATAAATGGGTTCAGTAGGAGAGTCAGGATAAGTGTTGGGAAGGGGATAATTGTCTGTTTTGGTGTGTGGGCTGGTAGGAAGTGTGCTGGCTGAGAAGCTTCGCTTTACCTACTGCCTGGCTAGCAAGTCTTTTTGCCAAGGTTTCTGGAGGAGGAGAGGCAGCTTCTTTGAGGTTAGAGTGTCCCACCTACCCTTCAAGTGTTAAAACAGACCATCAGTAACCAACAACTTGCTAGCAGAGGTGCTGGAGAGAGACAAATGTTATCCTTAGAAAAACAGTGGAAGCAAGACTTATTGGAGTTGGTTGTCAAGGCTGAAGATACTCAGGAAGGTGGTTTTTGCAACTGATGTATGAAAATGTAGTAGGAGATATACCAGAGCACTATGTAACTACTCTGCTATTTGGTGGGTTACCAAGGATTCAGAGGGGAATGCTGGAGGTAGCAAGGGTCCAAGGGTGGGTGTCCCTGGGGGAACTTCTGGGGGCTCTTGTTACACACTTGGAATTTTGTACATCTCCATTCTCATCAGGTCTACAGTTAACATAAGCATTAGATTTGCACAGACATCAAAAGTGTAACATACCACATGAGATTGAGACATTCAGATCTTCCAGGGGAGAGTCCATATGATTGTGAGTAGGTGTCATGGAGGACTGGCACTTGATACCCATATCCCTTTCAGATTCTAGGAGGAAATTTTGACAGCCTTTGTCTTTTGGGATGGGTTGGTTTGTTTGTTTGCTTGCTGGAGGGGTGTGTGTATAAGTTTTGTGCATTATTTTTACATGCAGCTTTATTTTCATGGATGTATACATAGGGTCACTGGTTTATTGTATTAAGCATTTTCTTACCCTGCTCACTCCCCTTCTCAGTTACCTTCTCCATTCCTTTTCTGTGATACTTTTTTGTATTTCCTGCAGCAGCAGTCAGTTCCCTCTCAATAGACTTAATTCCTCCTTCTTCCCATTTTTATGTCCACTAAAATAATCTGCATGGAACAGTTATTGTCAACGTCGGTATGTAACTGGGTTTCCACATGACTGCCTGTGAGGAAGAGGGGAGATCCATATCTCTCTTAGGACAGTATCTGCTGATAGTGTCACCTGTGGAAATTAGTTGCTTGGTGTATATGTTGTTTAAACAAAAATCTAAAAATTCAAACAGCTCTATGACTGCTTTTTATATAGATTCACACCTTTTCATGAAAGATTACTATCTCCTGCAGGTAGCTGGAAATTTCCACTTTGCACCAGGAAAAAGTTTCCAACAGTCTCATGTACACGGTAAAGTATTTTCTTTTCCTGCTTACTGTGACCTTTAGCTTCCAAGTATATCTGATGGTTTTCTTTTAATATCTTTGCATTGCTGTCCATAATACCAGCAGCGCTGCTTCGGCAGGGAGGATATTGTTGAAGTTTCATTACAGAGGTTTAGAACCATCATGAACAAATAGAAAAGTGTTTTCTGGAGGTGCTGTCCTATGGGTGTGGAAGAACTTGCAGGACAATATTTCTGAGCAGTCTATCAATCTCACTTGTTCTGCAAAACTTTGCTGTTCTGCTGTAAACCATCCTCAAGTAAGGTGTTCAGTCCAAGACCTGAGATCAGTATCTTTGGAAGGGATAGTTTGGAGAATACCTCAGGAGAATTTTAAAGCAATTCAGAAAGCTTAGAGTAAAATTTAAGTTCTAAAGGACTCCCTAAAGTATACATATAAATATGGTGGCCAGAATATTAGTGGTACTTCTACAGAATGGTTTGGGGTGGAAGTTACCTTTAAAGGTCATGTAGTCTGACCGCACCCTCTGCAATGATCAGGGACATCTTCAACTAGACCAGGTTGCTCAGAGCCCCGTCCAGCCTGACCCTGAATGTTTCCAGGGATGGGGCATCTACCAGCTCTCCGGGCAACCTGCTCTATTGTTTCACCATCCTCATCGTAAAAAGTTTCTTCCTTATATCTAGGCTAAATCTACTCTCTTTTGGTTTAAAACCATTACCCCTTGTCCTATCGCTACATGTCCTCTTAAAAAGTCTGTCCTCATCTTTCTTACAAGCCCCCTTTAAGGAGCTCATGACGTTCCCATGGGCCCACTTCTCAAGCTTCTCCAGGTCCCTCTGGAGGGAATCCCATCCCTCAGGTGTGTCAACTGCACCGCTCAGTTTGGTGTCATCTGCAAACTTGCTGAGAGTGCACTCAATCCCACTATTGGTGACATTGATGAAGGTATTAAACAGTACTGGTCCCAGTACAGACACTTGAGGGACACCATTCGTCATGCATGTCCATCCAAATGTTGAGCTGTTGATGGATCCACTACTCTCTGAATGCAACCATCCAGCCAATTCCTTGTCCACTGAATAGTCCACCCACCGAATCCATCTCTTTCCAATTTAGAGAGAAGGATGTTGTGGGAGACTGTGTCACAGACCTTACGGAAGTCCAGATAGATGACATCACAGCTCTTCCCTGGTCCACTGATGTAGTCACTCCATTATAGAAGGCTACTAGTTTGGTCAGGCAGGACTTGCCCTTGTTGAGCCATGCTGGCTGTCTTGAATCACCTCCCTGTCATCCATGTGCCTTAACATAGCTTCTGGGAGGATCTGTTCCAGGATCTTGCCAGGCACAGTGGTAAGGCAATTCCCTCAGGACTCTAGGAGAAATTTCATTGGGTGCCATAGACATGTGTATGTTCAGTTTCCTCAGGTTGTCTCAAACCTGATCTTCTCTTACAGTGGGAGGGACTCTACTCCCACAGTCCCTGCCTTTGTCTTTAACAGGAACTTGATTAAAAATATTTGTGGTTTAATGGAATGTTTGCAATTCCCTTGATCAAGTTTTTGAAGTGTGAAATTTCACAAAGGTTTCACAAAGAGCTTTAATTTCAGCCTGATTTTTCCCCTTCCTGTAACTCAGGCCAGTTTAACCTGTACCACTGAGGTAAAAGGAGGAGAATGTGAATCTGCTTTGTGAGACTAACTGGTATATTTGGAGAAAAACAAGCAAGCTTTTAATTACAGTTTCTACAGATGAAGAAGCACTTCTGTGGAGAAAAAAAAAACAACAACACAAACACAACCAAAAAAACCCACCAAACCTGTTTTCTCCCCCAGTATGACTTGTTAATAATAAAACACTTCTACCTGCAGAACTTTGGGCTTAAACTACTATAACAACAGCAACCTTACTACAGCCAGTATCTGCAACTTCACAGCATGTATCTAAGTTAACAAGAAGCATCTCTGCATTGCATCTGTTCTCTATAATAGGCATGATGCAAGTTGGCTGTCCTGAGAGCAAGTATTTTGTGTGTGTAGAGGAGAGGATGAGGTGAGGTGAGATAGGTTTCTAATTGCATGTGCCCCAGAAGTCTTGCACAACTGAACTGAAAATTCAGTGGGAAAACAGTTGAAAACCAGAAAGGACTATGTAGTTACTGCAGACCTTTTGGAGGCCGAGTTAGGAATATTGGTGTTTTAAGGACAGTGAAGAGGAATAGGAAGAGGGATGATGGGCAGACAGACTTTCTGGGAATTCTGTCACATTATATAATGAAGAAAAAAGGCCCCTAATAATTTCTTTCATGTGCAACTGTTTTCAGCTCTCGGGATCTCCTGAGTCTGTTAGGGTCTATTGAAAGCCCTCGGTGGTTCTCTTTCAGGTACTTTTCCCATCTCACCATGACCCACGTGAACATTTTGCATTCACAACACCCTGTTGCGAGACGTTCAGCAGCCCTGCTCTGCTGTAAGAACCCCCCCCTCATTTTCTTGCTCCCACTAGCTGTATCCAGAGGCTCTTGTTCCTCTGCTGCAGAAGAGTGAACAGCTGCTGCCTGCTCTCTCCCTATCTTTCAGGATGTCACAGACCTTTCCTGTGCAGCCCACAGGCCGTGTCTCTCCTCTGCTGAAGAGTCCCAGCTTACCCAGGTGGTCCTTTGTGGAAGGCATTTGACCTCTGAACTTCCTTGCTGAATTTCTCTGAACCTCTTTCACCTCTGTCTGGAGGTACCAGACTGCACCCAGGATTAAAATCCTGGATGAGCATGATGTAAGCAGTGGTGTAACGATTTTCTTCCTTTTGTTCTCTCTTGCTTCCTAATTGTTTGTAACACATGATCTCCCTTATTTCCCAGCCTTTGTCTGGGGGATATTTTCATGGCACCAATCAACAATCAAGGAGTTTTCCCTGACCACCAAGGGAAATGAACAGCTCAGGGTCTGGTCTTTTTCTTGTATGTGAAGCTGAGACTGTTTTCTGCCTCAGGATAACCTTTCTTCATAATCCTTTTTTTCTTTAAGTTTACAGAAAGAAGGAATGGGTTTTTTCCCCTTTAATTACAAATACAGGACATGACTAGTATTAGTCAAAGGACGGAGCTCTGTGAGATACTTCCAGAGCTCCCCTAGAAATACCTCGTTTGGATCATAATTCCATACAAGACCTTAGGAGCGTGTGATTTTTTTTTTTTTGATCCATTTAAGGTGTTCTGCATTGATGCTCATGCCTATTAATATACTCAACAGAATGTCAAGCAGAATGAAGTTGAGTGTCTGAGAAGTCTGAATATTCCAAACTATTATCATCAAAACCCACATTAACAATCCATTCAGAATAATAATTTTACTAGACCTGTTTGATACAGAACTGTGATGACAGACAGTACTTTTGCTACTGCCTTCTATTCCGTACTGATTTGAATCAGTAGAGAATAAGGGGGTGAGTGACAATGTCATTAATGTGGAAATTTCATTCCATTGCACCACTCTTCTTGCCTCATGTCAGAGTAGCTATACCACATTTGTACAGCCAGTGGTTAGACCTGAGTCTGTACTTCTATTTTTTGGTGCTATTCAAATACTGACGCTAGCACACCAGCTTTTGTTTCTTGTGCTGTTACTCTCCTGCTCCTGAGGGTTACTGTTGTTTAATAGATAACCTGCTAGGGAATCTGCACAGTGTAAAGGGTACTATTCAGATGCACTTTGTAAATCTGACCGTTAATATAATTCTGATCTGAGCTTCCAAACTTTTGGTGCGTGCTTGCTGTTAACATCTTCAAAATTGTAACTTCTCTATTGGGTGGAAGTAAGTTGAAATTGCTTTTTTTGGAAAGTAGACTAAGAAGTAAGAGGAGATCTGGGGCTAACACACATGCAAACCAAAACCAGCACTGAATAAGGTGCAGTTTTATTTCTGTTTAGTTATGTTATCTTTAACTGTGTGTACCTCAATCTTCATGCTCTTTATTTTGTTTGAGTAGCTGCCCTAGGATAGAAGTAACCCAGAAGACATCATCTTTTTCAGGGATTATTCATTTCTTGTTTGGGCTTCCTTCACACACAGTTCTCTCTCCTTGCCTGTGTTTTTGTTCTCGCATACTTTTATTTTATCCCCAGAAATCATTTGTCTGCAGTAATACTTTCTAGATTCCCAGCATAAGGTGTGGTTTGACAGTGCTGGCTGAATGTGAGAGGAATGTAGGTAAAAGGAAAGGAGCAGCCTTGCCCAGAGGAGCTCATCCCATTTCTCACATCTGTGAACCTTGATTCTTTGTCTTTGGCTTGGCAGAAGTCCTTCCCTTAAGACAGAGAAGATCAGAGATCCTTGTTTAGACTAGGAAAAAAGATTGAAATTACATTCAAGTTAACATTAGCTAAATACAACAGCCTAATTTCAGCTACTTTCCTAATCAGGAGAATGCTAATGAGTAGCCACCAAAATCAAATTATCAACAGTTGCTCTCCAATTTTTTTTCATTTTTAAACACTATGAGTGGGTAAGCCTTATGAAAGCCACCCTTCTTAAGAGTTTACTGAATATCAGGTTTTATTAGTTACAATCACATTGGGTGATTCAAGTTATTTATTGACAATATGGTATGTATACGTGTTTTAGTGCAGACATATATATTGACTAACAGGAATCAAAGTTTTGAAGTGTAGGTAGCCCATGAATCTCATGCTCTTTAGATGCAAGTGCTTTATCTCGTCAGAGGGTGGCATCTGCTGGAATAGATTCAAAACCATATTTCACTTACGTTTGGCATTCTAAATGTCCTGAGGGTTTTTCATGAAGAATTAAGCCCCTGACATCTCAGATTTTCTCAGAAGAATGCATTACCCAATCTTATGGGATCACAGACTTATTTCTTAGATATCCTTATACCATGGTAATCTTTATGCCCCAAGGACCTCTGATGTCCTGAGAATCTTTTTTTTTTTTTTTTCTTCAAAGTAAATGTTGGACATTTCACTTGTTTTAACGCAGGTTCTCCTATGAAGGACAATATTACATGTTGTCTTTATGCAATATTCATGTTTCTGAAGGAACCAGAAACACGGGAAATACTAAAACGTGTTAAAAGAAGAGAGTTTGTCCACTTGTAAGAAAAACGTTATTTTGTCCTTTTTATTTTGTTTTGTTTCTGCCTGTATGAATGCTAAATCCAGGTGAGGTGATTTACTTCCCTTGCTGTTGTTTGTCTGGATGTTTTTCTGTGCTTGTATGTAACCTTTGTTCTTGTGTTCTTTTGATGTTGTTCCATATTTATACATATGTACCCAAACTAGGTGAAAGCTGTTCTGCCCAGTCATTAAGTACAACTTCACATTCCTTTTGGTTTCTCATAATCCCCAAGACCCTGAATAAAATGTAATTTGGAAGTTGAAGGAGGGTGTTTAGTTATTTGCCTTTAGATAACTGAAGGGTCTGGTCATACTGCAGTAGTGCAGTCTTTATCCATCTATATTCATGTTTCCAGTATACCAAAATGGAAGACTAAAGAACTGGTAAAGTTTGACACCTATCTATAAAAGACAGACTTCTACTGTGCATTCCCTCTTGGCTGGTTCATGAGTAAGGACATGTTCTTCTCAGCTGACTATTGGAGGCTGAGCACTTTATTACTAGAGGTATTTCTTCAGCATAGATTTTGTTCATATTTTGTCTTAGTTTTTGTCATTACTGGATGTTTTAGTGTGTGTTGCTATGCATTCCTCATCTTGGGTCATCAAAATTTTTCTCTCTGGGAGAATTCACACAACTGATGAGCCTTTGTGCCCCCTGTAGTGGTTAATTACGTTTTAGCCAGTGCATAAATATACTGCTTGTGCTTCTTGGGCAGGTGGTCTGCCTGTCTGCGCTTCATGTGCTGTGGCCTTGGAGAATCCAAGCTGAAACTTTGGGAATTTGCTTTAGAGGCAAGCAGTGATTCTAGTTTTCATCCCAAGTTATTGGAAGTATTGAAAACTGGACACTTTAAGCCTGCACCATGATGCTCCATCAGAGCAGAGTGTCAGAGAAGACCCCCACCCAACTCCTGAATGTCATACCAGCGGCAGATGCTCTTGTTCCTGAGCTCATCTGGGGTCCAGTTGCACTGAGAAATCCCAGGTCATTAGGAGAAGGACTGAAGGAGGTCATGAGGAGGACTGAAGCACTTCCAAGCAGAGTTTTTGGCACTGAAACTAGTATTCCTGGCTCTCCTGCATCAAGGGAAAACCAGAATCAAACATTATTTATATTTACAGTCTTCTGTTCCAAGCAGCACAGCCTCAAGCCCTGCTTATTCATTTGGTACTAGTTGAGCTTGGGCTTGCTTCACTGTTTTCTGGTCCACAGGCTTTGAATTCTAAACAGCAATTTTATGTTTAGTTTGTGCAGGGTGCTGCAGGTATTGGTGGAATTGTATCTTTCACTTATGCCTCTTTAAGGACAGCCTAACAGCACCAGTTGTGCTTGTTTGTGGTTCTGGATGTCACAGCTGTTTTCTTTGCAGCAATTCACAGGTTCTTTCTTTCCTTCCTGCCTCATAAAAGAGGAATGATTGAAAAATCTAGCTTTTTAACCTCCTGAGGTTTGTGGTGTAGGTGCTGCTGCCATTTCTGTCCATGCCTGTACAGTAGCAGTTATCTACGCCAGCTGCGGTGGTTGGCAGTGAGTTTCCAACATGCAGGAGAGTTGTTAGTGATAGGTTCCTTAGGAGAGAGATGACTGTCATATCACTTCCTTCTTTCTTGCCATATTTCTTTTAGTGTAGAAGCTGAGGCTTCTCATTCATCCTTTAGATTATCTTTCGACTGTTCTGTTGTTGAGCTTGCATCACCATTATTTTTTAGGGGAGGCCTTGTGCCTTATTGACAGCCAGAGAGCTTTTCGGGATTCCTTAAAATGTATTGTTAGATTCCTTCAATTCCTTAGAAAAGAAGTTGATGACAACATTCAGGACATTTTCTGTCCTACAGACACACTCTCAATGAACAGGACAGTTTCTGTGGGTGAAGCAATTCTGTATGTGGTCTGAATTTTGTGGTTTTCTTACTCCCTAAGTGGTCAACTGGAGGAACAAATTTATCTCTGAAGGGACTATTTGTGATTTCCATTTGTTTTTCTCATTGTTTGTGGTGATGATTGTGGAAGGAAAAAATCCAAGTGGGCTGCTCTTTGAGATAATGATGGTTTGGGCAAAGGAGCTGCCTACTCAGTCACCAAGCTTTGCCTACAAATGTGCAAAGCTTTGTTACCTCTCTTAAGAGCACAGATTCAGTGGTCAGTTGTATAGCTTCATTAATGTTCTGCCTGTGTACTTAAGGGAGGATTTATTCCCTTCTCTACTAGAGATTTGTTTGACAGCCGGAACCTACTTGAAGGCATCCTTGGACGCTATGGATGATCCCTAATAGCCTCTCATATTTTACATACTTTTTAATGTTTTGAATTGGAAAGGGACATACTGTCTTTGACTGAAGACTGGTTGTCATTTTTTAGGTCCCTTGGCATCTTCTCATTGGCATCAAGAGAAGTGACACTAATTGGTTTTTTTCTGCAGAGACTGCAGCTTCTTTCTCTGTTCCTTCCCTGGAGTCCTATTAGTTGAGGGGCTGTTACTATTGCACAGGCGTTTTACAGATACCAGCTCCTCATCTGAGCTCTTCACCTGCCCATCAACACTCCTGGAAGAAAAATAATGTGAGATTCAATCTCCATCAGTTGATCTAAATCCTCTGTACAATATTCCTTCCACAGATGGTGTTTGTGTGAGCTCATTCTGACTTCTGCTCAAAAGTAGAGTCTGCCAGGGAATTAACCATTTTCATACCCAAACTGAATGCTGAAAGCTGAGATTCTTATTTCATTTTCAGTATTGCTAAGGACTTTTGTTTTTACACTGGTAAACTCCTTTTACACTGGTGAACTCCTTTCAGAGTTTGGTTGTCTTAGTGCTGAAAGACACAAGGTCTCACCCATTTCCATGGAGATGGACAAACTGTTTTCAAGATAGATCAGATCAGGTCTGTTTTGGAGACCACAAACGTAGTATTTCCATTTGTCACTGGACTATAATCCATCAGAGCTCAAGTCGTACCAGTTGTTGGGAATGTGTAATGTTTGTCAAGCAGCCACCTGGAAGCTCTCCATTACCAAAAAACATGTTGTTGTAGAAGCACCACCAGGGATGTAGTGTGTGGCAAAGTTAATCAGAATTTCCACATGAAGGATTCAGAAGCCCATCTCTGAGGAGGTGTAAGTCTGAGTGTTACTGGTTAGCCATGCAGTGTTGAATATATGTGAACAGTCTTTCGAAACAAGCAGAAAAGGAGGTTACTTAACCTCCTCTGAGGTATGCCATCCAAACATACATTTTCCCTGCCTCACATCCTTTGTTGGGATCTTGCAACAGAACAAATAAAAACCTCATGGTTTACTACCTTCTCTGTGCATCAGGTATGATGAAAGAAGCACAGGACTCACCAAGAACAAAAACTTGTTACCCAGCTTTGAATGTTAATACATTGTGAATGTAAATCTTGAGTGCACTTCTGGATAGCTTTGGTTGCTGGTAAAATGACCTTTCTGTTACCTTAAGACCGAAAAAGAATCTAAATACAACCAGCGTTGTTATCTGCCATGCTGATTTAGAGCTCACTTAACATGTGGACATCCCACTTTATTTTTCCTTTTAGTGATTAATTCCTGCATTTTTATTTCTCTGTTACACTTTAAATGATTGCTCGTCCAAATATAAGTCCTTTGGCTAGCTAGGGAATTATTTTATATGACCTAGAAAGTAAGTACACTGGCAAAGCTGTTGCTCTTCCCCTTTTTGGTATGAGTTGTAAATGTTGTTCTATCTGAATCTCTGTATCTTTTCATTGTAAGGATCTGAATATTTCTCTTTTCTCTCCTATTCTGCTCATTTTTGCAGTGCACGCTGTTGAGAGTAAGTGTTGCTGTATCCTTATCCTTTTTTTTTTTTTTCCACCAAAATTGTTTATTACAGAACTAATGTAATTTCTGTTATTTGCTGTGTCTGTAAATCTCCTTTGGGAGGAGCTGTTGATTAGGCCAGGGTTTGAGAAGATTGCCTGAAAGCTAAAAGGAGAGCCATCTCCTTTTAGGAGAGCTAAAAGGAATGCATTCTTCTGTGGTAAAGGAGGTACCAGGTGGAAAAGGTTGAGAATCTTTGTCTTAAACGATTTTAATGTATCAGTGTTGGAAATAACGTGTTGGTGGATTATTAGTTGCTCTGTGCAGATAATGTAATTGATGGGGGCATGATGTCATGTTGGAGAGACTTTGCCTTTTGAAGTCGAATGGGATAATTATTTAATCTAATTTGTACAAGAAGCTAGAGAATTTCTCCTGGGAATTCAGGCACCAAGCCTGCTAATCTCAGAATACTCAGTAGGAGGTTTTCCAAGGGTTTGTAAACCACTGGATTTATTTTTTTTTTAAGGGTAATCATGGTGATTACAGGTTGAGGTGTGATGTTTTGACTCGGTAACATCTGGTAGAGGGCTCAGGCTCTTGGCTTTGCCCACTCCCTACCCTTGCTGCAACATTTTCTGTGTTTCTCCCTGCCTCAATCTCTTCTTCACTGCAGCTGTGCTTCTGTAAGATATTGTCCTCCAGAAAATTTTTTCTAGTTTGAAAATTGGTGTCCTAGTGCACCTTGGAGCAGTATGTTTGGGTAGCTGTGTTGGTTTTTTTGCAGTCTTAAGGTGTTTATTGACAGAGTCCTGAGCAGCCAGAAGTGCTGTTAACCCTGTTTTACAGTTCAAGGACTGAATGTCCAAGTCTAGGGAGTCTTTGTGGAAGTTCAGGTCAGAAATGCAAGATGGTGAGAATTCTTCAGATAGAAAGCAGTTCTTAAAACTGTTACTAGAAAAGTGAAGAAAACTAGGTTGTATAAAAATAGTCAGACTTCTTGACAAACCTAAGATGTTTTACAGGCGTCTCTGTTTTACCTAGCCAGGCACTTAGCTGCAATTAAGGGAAAGAAAGGAATGTGTGTGTTTCTTCAGAAATAACAGTCTCTGATCCTATCTGATAATCTCTTAGGATCTTCTGTTTCTTCTCTACACAGGCTAAATAGCCTGTTGTTTTATGTTAAACAAACTATGGCTAGCTAAACGTTTATCTACAACCTAGAGTATATACACGTGATCCTCAGTGATCAGACATAAACCTGTGGTCTGGGTGGAAGACTGCTTCAGAAACTGAACACATAAATCACACTTTTTTTGCAGAGTGGTACATTTATTGGAGAGGAGTTTTATAAAAACTACTTAATCCGTGTTTTATCTGTGGAAGGTATAGTAGAGCAGTGTGGGTAAATTTTTGGTTTGGATAGCCCTGTCTGTTAAAATGGGTTAGGCAGGATGTGAATTAGTGTAACAGGTTTGTTAATGACTGGTTAAGTGCTGCCCTTGAGTTTCTTGGGTACTGCGCTATTACGGTAAGATTTGTCGACCTCACTGGTACTCAGCTCCCATTTCACATGCCAATGAATGTGAGTACCCAAGTGTTTTAGCTGATAAACACCATAATCCTGTGCAGGGTTCTAGGAGCACAGGTACCAGGAGGAGTCCCTGTCCCTCCTAGTGCATCGCTGCACTGAGCCAGCACAAGGATTTGTGCAGCTGTGTGACTAACCTTGCTTGGGAGCTACTCTGGCTGGAAGAGTAGCCTCACATAAAGTAATACTTAGATTTCAGCCTGTTACGTTCTTTGATGTAGCTCATGACCAAAAGGAGAGTGGGGCAGCAATGAGCCATCAACAGAAAGATGGGAGGATAAAGACTGTATTATTCATTTGGTAGTAGGTCCAATTTAAATGCAGATCCACCAGAGCCAGGATCTCTGTAAAACTTCATTGGTAACTGAAGCTTAGCCTGCTGCGGACCTCAACACTTCACTGTCAGCTTAACCCTGAAGTGCAAATAATACTGCAGCGTGGAAGAGGGTGTTGCTGTAAGTGTTCAGAAAAACAGAGTAGCATAACCCCAAGGCGACTTCTCCATTCCTTTCCCTGCCCATCATTCCACATCTGTTTCCAAAGTTTTAATAGGAGTTTGTTTTTTTAAGAACGAATGAGTTCTTTGGTCCAGTTGCCAGCACAGGCACACAAACTGCTGTGCTAGTGGCAGTGTTAGGTCTGCACACTTGTCAGAGACAGCAACAGGAAGATCTGAAGCCAGTGCAGCTCTGAGCTCTGCCTTAATTCCAGTGACTTCGGCCTTAGTTTCTGAGCGCTGAACATTTTAACTGTGAATTGTAAGGGCCTCCCCATGGATCAGACCTTAGGAGTATAGTTTTAGGCTTAGGCTTAGCATTTCCTCTTCTCTGTTTTGCATATGTCTCTCTTTGGGTTTAGTAGTAAGTAATGCTTCTGGTGTTTTACTGAAAGATGTTAGTGGAAAAAAATGAGTTCACAGCATGCTAATGTTAATTAAATGTTTTAAAGGAGGGGCTATTTCCAGTCAGTTCTTTAGCTTTGCAGCCTGTCTTGTGCTGGGCTGTATATCAGAAACCTTTCAAGGCAGCAGCATTCCTAACCTTTGTTAATAGTGCAGCAGCACTCGATATGCCTCTAAGCAGCTCTTAAAGGAATAGCCCACAATTTTTGAAGTGTGTTTTTCTTTGCTAAGGTGAAAGGTGAGGTCTGGCTTGCTGAGAACATGAATTTACCTGTTAAAATGCACCACAGCCTCTGGGTACTTTAAGATGATTGTGTGATTTTGGACAAACCTGCTAGGAGTGATACTGAAATCGAGTTGTAAGTTATATTTTTCATCCCGAGACTGATGCTTCTGGCATTGCATAAAGTCATTTAAGTAGCCAACCAAAAGATATCCCCCCATTACCTGGATCTTTGCTGGATCCCTTCTAGGGTGGCGTGGTGCTGCCAGGGGCATCATATTGCTGTATGCAGGAAGGGCAGAGAGAGGGCAGGCCTTACCCCGTTCCTAGCACTGGTGAACAGTCATCTTGGCCCCACCAGTGATTTGCAAATACCCTCCTCAGGCTGTCCCTGCAAAGACATTTTCTTTCCCTGGCTGTTCTCAGGGATGATAGGCAGACCGAGAGTTGCTAAAATGATGATGCTGATTTCTTTAGGGCATTTGCATGTGATATTAAGGCATGTGCCCTCCTCAGTTGTTAGTTTAGATCTGTTCTGCCTCTGTGTTTTACAGTAGCTAGAGGAGTTGTGTATCACGTGGTAACTGAGATAACAGTGAAGTTTTCCTTGCTTGCTCCTGGGATCTTGTTTTTGCCCTAGATTAAGAGTACATTCAGGTGAGTAGTGAAATACCTAATCTGAAGTAACCCCAAATTAAAGTTAAGTTACTTTACTTTAGCAGTGGTTAGTCTATGTCGGGGGGGGGAATTGCAGCAGTTTTATCTGTTCCATGCTCTACTGCAAGCAAGAGAGAAACCCAGACAATTTCCTTGCTGTTGTAGATCGTGATGGAAATGAGAGGAGATCTCTTATAGTCTAGAATAAGGTAAAATAGATATGCTTGTTATCACAGTCTAAACTATATTGTTAAACTACTTTTCTGTTACAGTTCACGATCTGCAGAGCTTCGGACTTGATAATGTAAGTGTTCCCAAGACAGTGTTCTACTTCTCTTGGCCTATTTTCCTTATGGATATGCCTTTGACACATGGAGGTCCTAGTGTAGTGATCTCAGCAGGATTTGGCTTTATGAGCCTGAGCAGAACCTGGGACCTGCTTTCACACAGGGCTCTGAAGTATGTTCTGGGATATCTGTACACTGCTTGGCAGTCCTCTTCCCCTCTTCCTGAGACTGCCTTGCTCCTTAATCTGTGCTTCCCAGTTTAAGGTTGACATTTTCACAACTGCTTCTCGACCTGTTGGAGTTTACCTTGTGCTGGGAGTAAAGCAGATGATACCCCTACCTATGCCACCCAGGCAGCTGACAGTATGAAGCTCCTATGGCAGGGAGAAGAGTGGGTGGGAGAACCTGCATTGGAGATGGGAGGGAAGGGCACCGGGATTTATTGTTTAATTGTTAGGAAGTACAGAATAAGGGAGGACCTATCTCTGTTCCAGAGCCAGGAAAATATACAAATAATTAACTTTAGGCCCCTTACCTTGCCCCTCGGATGTTGTGCATTTGTTTGAGTTATTAGCATTTCTGTTTCAGATCAATATGACGCACTATATCAAACATCTCTCATTTGGAAGGGATTATCCGGGCATTGTGAACCCTCTGGATGGGACAGATGTCACTGCACAGCAAGGTAAAAGCCAGCTGAGAGAAATCTCTTTTTAAGTGTCTGTATTAATAACTGTTAGAAGAGAACAGGAGTGAAGTTCTCAGTCTTTAACAAGAACCCTGACAGTGTTGCATAAAATGGACTCCTCTACCTTGTGCTCTTTCTGGAACAGCTGCCTCTGTTCATCTGGAACAAATCTGCCAACGTTTTGGTTCTGTGACCTTTCTGAAAGATCTCTCTTTTCAGTGTTCATGGGTGCACAACAGCAGGTACAGCACATCATTATGAAATGCCTACATCAGGTGTAGTTCAGAGAGAGCCCTGTCTAGCTTCTGTGTACAGCAGGAGATAAACCAGAAGATGCAGGATAGAGAAGAAAGGCCTAATAGAAAGTTGCTGGAGAACCATAGTGTCTGCCTGACCTTGGCCTATCCAACAGTAATGGCTGAACAGCTGCAACGAAGTTAAATATTTCTCATCTTCTCTGGATAGCTCCAGTTTGCTGGCTTGGGAAAGGCAATTCCCTCTTCATGTTACTGCTACTCAAACTGTAATCTTGGTTTATTCACATAAGCCTTGTGCATTTTCTATGAAAGATCCTGGCCATGCTACTTTATATGCCACTGTGGAGATTACTTTTTTTTTTTTTAGATCTGCTGAAGTCTGCAAAGTTTGTCTTTGCAGGTACTTGGGGTGCTGTTATACAGTAAAGCTTGGAGAAAGAAGTCATTTGCTGTGAGGTGGTGGTAGGATTGTTAATCCTACCTGCATCCATTCTTTAAATTTTTCACCATCAATTTTAATTCTTGTACCCAAATCAGAGGATGATGCTTAAAATAAAATAAAGAAAAATGAAAAGGTATCATAATTCTCGATACGGTTGTTATGCTGTAGTGTTTCTGTGGAGTAACAGACCGTCTGAGAGGGCGCATGTAGCTGGCTGGTCAATTCTTTCTGTAGGCTGAAGCTTTCCATCCTGGTCCTCAAAGAACCAGTTGGCAAATTCTTGAGGAATTAGGACTGAAGACATGCTCTGGAGAAGTGGGAGGAGTAGATTGTAGGTCAAACTTATGTTTATTGCAGACCAGCTAAAGTTATTATATACGAGAATTACTTCTTTTGTAGAAATGGATGAATAATCTTCTCTAAGGAATTTCCTAGAAAATAGGTTTTCAGAGCGACTCCAGCTTCCCGTTATACTGAAGAGAACTGAAGGAACAGGCTGGTCTGAGGTGACAGAAGGAGTTCTATTTTTTTTCTTCACTGATCCAGATGTTCTTTTTTATATCCTGATATGATAACAACCATACTTCTGCAGGAATAAACTGTAATGTTAACTGAAGTTGATAGAGGATGCTAATTTAGAGTTGAGTATGTTTTCTTAGGGCTGTGCTGTTAAATATAAAGGTTTTTATATGCTAGGATAAGAATTTTCAAGAAGCTATACTGGTAACAGATAGCTGCTTTCTAGAAAGTTTTCCATTTAGTCAAGGCCGAAGTGACAGTTTTGGTTGGAACATGAACGAGCTTCACGTTGGAAAACTCATGTCAGACATCAATTTTACTGTCCTTGAAAACTTCCAGTAATGTGCAGAAAGATGTTCCCTGACAAGCTTAAACAAAACCAATTTGTATCTACCTAACCTGTCAGTTGTGCTTAACAGCTCTTTTCCAGTTGTTAATTGTGTCTTTCTGTCTTTGCTTACAGCTTCCATGATGTTTCAGTATTTTGTGAAAGTGGTCCCCACGGTGTATATGAAAGTAGATGGTGAAGTAAGTAACTTTTTCCCTATTGTTTTGGCAAATGAAAGCCTTCAGACTTTCTCCTCATATTCTGATGTTGACCTTATCTGACCTCTGGTGGAAGCAACACAGTCTGACTTTCTTTGTATCTCCACCCCAGCAAGAATAACAATTTCTGTGGTGTAATGTTATCTGTAATGTTGCAGCAGTGATAAAGCAGATTTCAGCTTCCTCCATCCCATCTAGATCAAAGTTTTCATAGTGTTCCCTCATGAATCCCTCACAGTCCATACTCAGGATCCTAAGTCAAAGCAGCAAGGACATCCTAAAAATATTCTTTGGAGAATAGTGCAAGATCAGCTTGTCTCCAACTTAAAATCTCCTTTAGCCTCCAAAACAGTGTGACCCCACTTTCAGAATATGTCCTTCTTTTGGGACAGGAAGGATAAACAAATTACCAAGGAGATACCAGAGTGAGACAAAGATCTTGAGAACAGGCACAAACTTAGGCTCTCTTCGGAAGCCAGCAGAAAGAACTGTGGTTTCTTTTGTTCTTTTGGAAGCGTTTATTTTGGTTGTTGTCATTCTGCGGGGGATCTCCAGAGCTATGGAGAAATTCTTTTTAAAAAACAAACCAAACCAAACCTGTCAGTTATCATTATTTGGGCCCCCATATGTACGCTGTTACGTTTCTTTTGCAAAGAAAACACCAGTAGAGGCAGAAGCCCTACTGTTATGCAGACTTTACCACCAGTGCTACCCAGTGTACTTTCCTAACCCTGTGAGGAGGCAGCAGGTGCCACGTGCCCCACTACCTCTGTGAACGCTCACGTACAGGGTGGTTTAGCTCCCTAGCTGTCTCCCAGGTTTTGGTTTTGTATCTGCTATGCTGTGTGCGTGGTCTGTGCCCAGCTTCACTGTAACACCAAACCAGTTTCCTCTGAAGTTAAACCCAAGTGTGGTTCTGGAGCTTGTTCAGCATAAGGACTGATCTACCTGTGGACGAAACTACACCAGAACTTGATTCCCTTGTCCTGTGTGGTTTTATAATGCTATGCGAATGCCACAGCATTGGGAACCCTTACCACCTCAGGCTCTTCACCCAAACATGCCACTTTCAGGCCTGTACCACATACCCTTGCAATCAGAACAACGTACTACTGCCCACCCACACAACCTGCATATTGCCTTCGGTACTCTGAAATGTAAACCACCAACAGATTATTAGTTATGTCAGGCTGCATAGGAACCACAAATCTGAGGAGCCACATGGCCAGAGTAGACACAATGCAGACATTCAGGCAAAGCTATCCTAGAGCAGCATGGGAATCCATTGGAAAGGTAGACATAGTTTGTATTTCTTCACCTGCCCTGAAGATTGAAACTGAGAGACTCAGTTCTCATGTGATAAATCTTTATATGGACCACTCTTTCTTCAATGCCCTGCCTAGAAAGGACCCATCTGTTCTTTCCTGGAAGTCAGGTGGAAGTTACTTGCTGTGAGGTGATACTGTGAGAACGCAGGCCATGTTTGAAGCTCATTCTGCTTGGATTCAGGCTGTCTCTGCAATTTCTATGTATGATTGAAATTCCTGAAGTACAAAGGATAGTTAATTGGAGCTCTGTTCTTAGAGCCACTTCCCAGTATGCCTTCTGTTTCTCTTGATGACATCTTGCATTCTACTGTATAGAGCTGTTGTTCAGTTTTCAACAGAATTCTATCAAAATAATTGCTTTTTATTAGTCACCAGGAGAGGAATCCATACAGTCCATGGTACTCATAGTAACTGTGGATCCAAGTGTGCTGCCAGATGTATACCAGGGGCTGTGTTATTCGTTCAGTACTTAGAACCCCCAAATATAGAACTTGGTAAAGAAACTGGATAGTATTTTTCTCAGCGTGGATCATAATTTGCATCAGATATCTTATAATAGAACATCATTTCATTTTACGGAAATAGAATTTATTTGCTCTAAAAATAAGACTGGTATGAATAAAGTGTGGAAGGTGTGTAGGATGCAGAAGAATGATATAGAGTGATCTTTATTTATATAAAGATGGGCAGTCTGTGTCCTTCTGCAGCCCTGGCACTCTCCTGCCTTGATGTATTATTTTTTCTTTGTTCTCACTCTTGAATATATATGGCTTTCTGACATAGGTGCTGTCTCCTGAGGCATGCTTAGGCAAACTGCATTTTGGTAGAGGATGACGTGGACTTGGGGTTGAGGTCAACAGGAACAGCTTATGCCATTACTTGCCAGCAGAAACCAAAAGAGTCCAGCCTGGAGACCGATGCATCATTCATTCTTTGGGCTAGCTGAGGCCTTTAACTGATAGCCTGTAGTAAAAATAGACTTGATACTGATGGATGCTCTTTATGACCCTTTCTAACCACTATCAGGCCCTCCACAAGGGATTGGGCAGGGCTACATTGATGTGGCTCACCAAAGCTGTGTTTTTATAGCCTTTCCTATTCCTTGTTGACAAAACAGACTTTGCTGTTTGTTTCCTGCTAGGTTGTAAGGACTAACCAGTTTTCAGTTACACGACATGAGAAGATAGCCAATGGCCTACTAGGAGACCAGGGTCTGCCTGGTGTATTTGTGCTATATGAGCTTTCACCCATGATGGTGAAGCTGACAGAAAAGCACAGGTGAGTGACATTTCAATCTATTTCATTCACCCTCCACTGATTTTGTCATTTTGCATAGCTTAAAACTGCACCCTTGCTTAGACATGACAGCGCAAATGCCTGAAAGTCATCCAAGCTCCATCCCAGTCAGTGGAGAGGAAGAGCCACTCCCAGATGCCCTTCCTTTCTGTGAACATCTGAAAGGGACTGGGTTTTTCTGATACTATCTGAAGCATTTTAATCCAGTATCAAGATGGAGAAGGAAATCAGTGCAGCAAGCAGAAGCCTGATACAATGGTTCTTGGTTCAGACTCAAAGTCTTATTTAACGGGAAGACTAGATGTATAGCTTACCTATCTTACCAGCACCTACAGCAGCACCCACGCTGATGCAGCCTCGTTACTTACTCTGCATTTACCAGAGCTTTTCTGCATGTTGTAGTCAGCATGGAACCTCTTTCTTCTTTCCAGGTCCCCAGTTAATCATAGGCATGTCATTGGAAGGGGCTGTAGCTGTCCGATCTTTTGAGATCATGAGAGACAGCCAATGTCTGTCCCTTAACATGTGCTTAGGGATTTAGTTTCTGTGTTACAGCAGCCTGCTGTGCATTCTCTCTGGGCAGGAATGGATAAAATCGTTGGGATTACAGGTCCACTCTTTTGTACTTGCCTCCTAATGTTGCCGTTGAGCTCGTTAGAGCACACTGCCCTAATGCTACTTATTAAAAGTATCAGTGATAAACTCCATTCTGTAGCCAGCCGGGGGTATTGTAAAATCTGTTAATTGTCAGCTTATTTGTATAATGCATAATTGTGTGCCATGATCAACATTATTACAATTATGAATTAGTTTTTAGTAGTTGTTACTTATCCAACTTGGTATCTGAGCTCACAATGGTTGTTCAAATTGTTTTCCTCATTCTAGGTCCTTTACACACTTTCTCACGGGAGTTTGTGCCATTATTGGAGGCATATTTACAGGTATTGCACCTTTCAATCTTTTTTCTTTCTAAAACGTAAACATTTGCCATCTTACTCTTTCTAAACTCTTCATGGCTGGTAATAAATCCCTGTTTGATGGGGAAGAGATGATTTCAGCCTTCAGGAGGGGATACAGCATGTTCTACAGAGCCATGGGAGTGGCATCAGATTGTAATTAGCACTGCAGACTTTCAAGAGGCTGTAGATGATGTAGACCTATTATAAGATTTCATTTGATTAAATATTTAATTTCAAAATGACATAGACCTATCATAATATTTCATTTTTATGCTCCGGAGGACTTTGTTTTCAAATAACGTGGTCTTTCACTTACCATATGAAAGCATTTGTACTGTTTTCTTGGCCATCCTGGGTCTGTAAGCAGATAGTTACTTTCATGTGGAACCAAAGGTCAGTAAAATCTGTGAACCCAAGTAGCCATGGGCATAGCCATCTCAGAGGTCTCAAACTGTGTTCCCAAACATAGGAGCTCTGGTGGGTGCTCTGCATGGACTAAAAGCAGCCTTCACAGCTAGACAAGGTCCTGGAAGGCTATTCCTGCAGAGCCGTTTGAGTGTCTGGACTTCATTCTCAGTGCTGGCTTCTGGAATAGCTCTTCAGTACCTGCCCAGCTCCATACATGTGACAGAGCCCAGCTTTGGTCCACCCTTGCACTCCAGCTAATAACCCAGGAAGCTCTGAAACATAGTCAGAGATGTCCCAATGACTGTGAAGGGCCAGCCTAGAGATCTGGTCAGCAGATCTTATGGCCCTGAGAAGCCAGCTGTTGTATCACCTAACACCTGTATACATACCTGTATTACATAATACCTTTATCTGCAAGGTTTTCCCATCACTTGAGGTGTCACAATGCTCGGTTAACCTGATACTGTTAAACAGGATTTCTGTATGTAATAAATTTGATCATTCATACTCATTTCTATGGTTGACTTGGGAAAAGGCTTTCAGAAATTATTTTCATGACAAATACAAGTGCCCTCTAGCAGTGATTAGGTTTGACAGCCAATTCATAGTGTTTGCTGCTATATGCCGTGTTCAGGCTCTTCATATTCTAGAGGACAGATCGAATCAGCTGTGTAACAGTTTTTCTGCTACAGCATTAAATTGGTTCCACAAGTAGAGATAATTTCAGTGCGAAACAACCACAAAAGACTGATCTGAAGTGTTACTCAAAGACCAGATAGTACGGCAAATAATTCTGTATTCTATAGTAATAAACAGAAGACTCAGTTCCTGTTTTAGCTGCTACTCTTGTCTTTGTTTAGGGCCAAGTAATTGCTTACTCACTCCTTAGATTGAGGTGTTGAATAAAAGAAAAAAGAACATGAAGCTTTATAAAGGCATTGAAAATAACCTTCACTCACTATCACTGTGTGTTCCCTCCCCTGCGATCTCAGGGTTTCTGTGCTGTGAAAGCTTCCTTGATGGATGCAGATTGTCTGGGTTTTGTAGTGCAGTAGACCCATTCTGAGCTTTTCTGTGATCCTAAACATGCTGAAGTAATGGGCTGCTTCTGTACTGGAGAGATTTGGGGAAAATACTGCAGAAAGAACTAAAGGCATCTGCGTTTTTTTGCTTTGTGTCCTTGGTGGGGTAAACATTGCAGTCTCTCATAAAGGGCATCCATCAAGGGCAGCATTGGGTAGAGCAGCTTACTTTTGAGGTCACTGTGAAATGAGCAAGAAATGGGAAACATGCCCTTGGCAAGCTGGGTCAGGGCAATGACATGGCAAAAGGCTCTCAGCATCAGCTTCCTCTCCACAGTCTTCTCACTCACACATGACTTGGCCTGTCTCATCTTTACTTCTGCAAGAGAGATCTTTCTGTCCTCATGAGATGAGGACCTTACTCTTCTGAGCAGCAGCAGCTGTTTTCTGTCTGGGGGAGCTGGAATTCCTTTCCACTGGCAGAGGGTGTGTGTTTTCTTTCCCTGAGAGTTGTTCTCCCTTTGATGCATGTTTTTTCCTTTTAGTTGCAGGATTCATTGATTCCTTGGTCTATCACTCAGCATGTGCCATCCAGAAGAAAATTGAACTTGGGAAGACCACATAAAGAAGCAATGACCTCACCCCACAAAAAAAATCTACAGAGAAATAAACACAGGTGATCTTCTGAGTGCACAAGAGGTTTGGAGTTACCAGATGGCCCTGACCACTCTTATTTTACTGCCCCATTGTTCTTTGTTTGGCATTAATTTGTGAATGGAACCGCTTGAACCTTGCTGCTATAAAGATTAGCAGTCTTGTCTGTCTGTGCAGACCCTACTGACCCTTTTGTATCAGTCCATGTTCGTCCAGTTCTGTCCCCCTCCCCAAAAGAGATGCTGGATGGAGATACTGCATTCTCTTTGCTTCCAGGAATAATGTACTGTATTGTCATGAGACCTGGAATGAAATTGCCATCAAATAAGCTTTCTAGCAAGACCATCTAGCTTTTTAAGTTTTTGTTAAATGTGTTTCTGAATGTGCTGATGCTGTATGCCAGACCTCTGTGAAAATGTGCTGAACCCCATGTGCTTTCCCTTCAGTTGTCCTGGGCAACGTGGTGAGACCTAGCACTTAGAATGTGCTTAGTGTACCATGAGGCATTGCAGTTGCTCCAGATGGCTCTTCCTACAAAAGGTGCAAGTTGATGTTTCAGCAAAAAAAAAGTGTTTGGAGTTCTAATTTTTAAATTGGATTGTGCTTTTCACTTCCCCCTTGAAATAAAAGTCCATCCTCTCTGTGTTTTGGTAAAGCATTTGGAAGAGTAATGAAATTATTTGAACTAATCCTAGTATTGAATTGGAAATTATAGTTAAAAAACATACCTGCCTTGTTGTGGTGGGTTTTTTATTTTTTTTAATGATCTATGCAAGTGAGTAGAGTGCTTGCTATGTGAAATTATAGTGGGAGAAATGTGAAAATAATGAGGAAAAACAAAATATTGTGGAGTCCTGCCTCATTTTGAGGCAAGATAGACTCATTACTCTTAAATCTCAGCTCTGAATTTGCTTTGGTGCTGACTCTAAACTTGGTCCAAGCAGTTGGTCCAACATTGCAGTGTGACAGACACAGGATCGGATGTCTATCAGGGAGACAAGCAATTTGAAGTGTGTGGAAGGAGACCCTAAGATTAATCATAAAGCTAGAATACTGAACAAAATGAGTTTATTAAAAAAAAAAAAAAACAAACATTTCAAACAAGGATATTTAATTAATCTGTTGGTTTAGGATCATACAGTACTACTACAATGTGAGGAAGGGGACATAGTATCTATGTTTTATCAAGAATAAAAGAATTTGAACAGCATCAGTTGCTCAGCAGCTTTGTAATTAAATTTGAAAGAATAATGAGGAGGGGGAAGATGAATGGAAATACTACAGCAAGAGCTTAACCCAAAGTTTAAACAATTACCTGCTAATTGCTTGTCTTTTTGATGGGAAAGCCAGTTCCCTGTAAGCATTGGTGAGCATTGCACACAGCACTGCTTAGCACCTAGAGAAAACAGAGGGAAGGTGAAGGGGCAGGTAGGTGCAAGACTCGTAGTGTGGGAAACTGGATATAATAGAGATGAGAAACAGAAAACATATAGAAATGGAGGTTCTACCTGGAGAGGTAGGAAATCAATGAAGCTCATAGTTAAGTGGGAGCTTATGAGTAGAAGAGATCTGGTGGTTTTAATAGACTGGAAGACCAAGTGACTAACAACCATGGAAAAGCGGAGTCTGATTCAAGGGTGCGTATTTGTGATTGAAAATGGGAAAAGGCATCCTGCTAACCCTACTGTGGAGGAGAAAAACTCCTCTGGGGAGCTCAGTCTGCAGGGTCTGCAATCCTGTTCTTCAGGCTGGGGCTAATGTAGATTGTGCTGTCTTTTCAAAGCAGTAAGGGCTCAGAAAGTAAAGCAAATGTTAATAATATTCACATATATTTTCAAAGTTTATTCAACATAAGATCATTTCAGCTGTAGTTGAGTGTCATCTACTGACTTAGCATGCTTGGTTTTTTTCTTTCTTACTCATTGATATTTTTAAAATATTTCCTTAGTTATAAAAAGGAAGGGAAGATGCTCCTCTCCCCCTGCCCAAATAAGAACTATGAACCCTTCCTGGAAGCCAATCAGTGGGTGAAAGTGTCAGCTCTGTCATGCAGCTAGCCACACTGGAGCAGCTGCTGTCACCACCCCCTGTCACCCAGTGGTCACCCGATGGCTTTGTGGCCACTGCAGTGACAGGCACAGCAGCTCATGGGCTCCACACACACTTCCAGCCTCAGTGTCTCCCCTTCCTCTCTCCCAGCCAGTGTGGGTAGAGCCATGCCCACCCCATGTCCAGCCAAATGCAACACTGCTGGTGCCATGGAAGTCTGTCAGCTCCTGTCACCCACGGTGCCCAGAGGATCACAGGGTCTGTCAGCCTGGGCACATGCAAACTCTGGGGGGAGAGGGAAAAGTAAGCTGAAGATCTGAGGCAGCTACTAGCAATGCAGGGGGGACTGCCAGTTCCTATGCTAACAGCCTGACTTCAGCTTGGAAATGCATCATTTGTAGAACAAAATCCTGCCTTCAGCTGCCAGTCTGTTAATGATGCTGAATTCAACGTCAGCATCATGGACCCTTGTCCTGCGAAAGGCTCCGGACCAGCGGTTCTTCTCCCAGTAATGGTGCCAGTTCCCTTCGCTGTCTGCTCCAAAGCCAAACACGGAGACCTGCGCACATGCCAGCAAGAGCCATTGCTGTGCAGGCGCTTGCTCGGCCTGAGAGCACACAGGCCAGCGGGGTGGTGGCAGTGCCTGGTCCTGCTGGCCCCACTCACCTGCTGGCAGAGGTGCAAGGCAAAGAGAAGGGCTGTGAAGCCAGTGGAGGGGTATCGCCCATGGCGCTGTGTCCAGTTGTCATGGATGTACTTGAGGAAAGCTGGGCTCAGGATCAGCACCTGAGTGGGGAGTGGAGGAGCCATCGGCTCGCTGTGCTGCGAATGGGACGGCCAGCTCCCGCCACCAGTGCAGCCACCAGCCTTCCCCCTCACCAGCTCAGCCCACATCCTGAAAAAAAAAAAAACAGCCCAGTCTCTGCCCAGAGGAGCCCTACCTGCGCAGGAGGAGCTGGAACCCACCAAGCCCTTACCTTGTTTCTGTCAGCTTTGATGAATTGTTTCACTCTCATGTATGTGCTATAAAAGCCAGAGAACAGCTGTGAGCATGGGGCACTCCCACTACTAGGGCCTCTCCTTTGGAGGCAGCTGGTTTGCAGTGGGTGCCTGTGTCTGCCAGTACCTGGCCCCATGGCACCCCTAGCCCCTTGGCTGGCCCAGCAGCATCACCTGGCCTGGCTGTGGGAAGGGACACATCAGGCCCATGGCCCCACAGTGGGGACAGCCACCACCCCACCCATGGGCATTACAGGCCTGCAGGATGCCCAGACCCTGCAGGGACTGGTCAGTGCCCACTTCCTCAAGCTGCAGTGCAGACGGATACCAGGACCTTCACCCAGGAGCCCCTCCTACCCTGCCAGGACCATGGTGCCAGAACCCCAGTGAGGCACCAGGGTCCCCAGGACCACCTCATGCCTTCCCCAGGCTCTCCAGCACAAGAGGTGTCACTCCCAAAGCTGACGCACTGTGTGAGCTCTCCAGTGGAAAATGCACTGGTCAGCCACCGCAGGTCCAGTGGCTTGAAGGGGATGAGGATGAGGTGGACGTTGGGCCCAAGGTTCACTGCGCTCTCTGGGTACATGAAGTGATGGGTTGTTCTCATGCCAACATCCAGCTCAAAGCCAGGGATCTTTGCTCTGTTCATCCTGGGGACAGCAGAAAGGCACATACCGAAATGCAGCTGCACGCTGTACCAGTCCCAAGCTGCTGATCCCAACCAGGCAGGGACACCAGCTCACACTGGCCAGCAGCAAAGAAGGGGACATGAGTGACACAGGGCTGGTATGTGCCCCAGGGTGGGGGCACCATGGAGCAGGCATCGCCCAACTTGTGTTGGCAGATATTACAGTGGCCAAGGGCTGGGGCATGCCAGGGTCCCAGCAAGACAGGGAGGGGCTAAGCTCCTTCAGGTCACCCACCTCAGCACCCAGTCATGGGCATCAATCCGCAGCCCGTGGCCGGACCCCTTCAGCCGCCCTGAGTTTCCCACCACTGCACAAGTCCTGCAGCGAGATGTGTCCCACATGCTGCTGGTTGGAGCCCGGAGGACAGTGAAGAGCTGCTGAATTATGGCCTGGAGTTGGCCGCCACGTGGGGGACCCTGCAGTGTCTGGGTCAAAATGCAGCATCAGCCCCCCTGCCAGTACCCCCAAAGAGGGGACAGAGCCCCACTCCTCCCAGTGGAGCCCTGAGAAATGCATGGAAAAACCCGATGGAATATTAGGAAAAGGGTGTGGGACAGGCTCGGGGTGGGGGGAAGGCGATAAGCTGGGGTTCCCCGCACCCTCTTCACCCCCCATCACATATGTCCAACTTGACCTTGGCCCTGCCCCACCACAAACAGATTTGGGGAGCCTGGGAAGAGCCCTGAGCTCCTGCCCAAGCCCTGACTCACCAGCCACCACTGAACCACGTCGGAGGAGAGCTCATGGGCTGCCCCCGTCAGCAGAAGCCCCATGGACATATTATAGCGGGCACTGAACCATGCGGAGCTGTTGGTGCTGGCACCACAGTGGACAGCAGGGGTGTCGAAGAGGGAGGGAGCCCAAGGGAAGGGGCCAAGGCCATCCGTGGGGGCTCGGAAACATTGCCACAGGACCAGCAGCAGGCACAGGGCCAGCACCACCCATATGTGCCTCTGGCAGAGCATCCCTCATGCCACCTGCAGTGAGATGTTACAGGGACAGTTGCATGGCCCCACCATGACCCCTTCCCACCCACTCTCACTACCCAGCCTCCTGGGACACCCCTTGACTGTTCATCAACCCTACAGGGACCTGAAATAACCTGGTACGTATTTCCTTTTCAAACGGTTCAATGGTTTTATTGCTGTGCTCTGCTTCTAGCACTGCCGCCCGCACTTAGGTCCAGGCAGAGCTGCCTGGGAATATGTCCTGTAAGAGGTTCTGCTCTGTGCCTGCAGCATTTTTAAGGTCTGCAAAACTAACCCACAAACAAGCAGCAAAGCGTAGTCACCAAAATCCATCTCCCGTCCAGAGTGGCAGCTGCCCATCCGCAAGGCACTGCTGCCAGGAGTGAGCCCCACTGCCTCCTCCCCACACATTCCAGCCATGCAGAGCAGACACTGGGCACAGCAGCCCCTTGACTCGCCACTGCCACCAAGCCCACACAGGTGCCATGCAGCCGGCAAGGCACTCCCTCCCCAGCAGCCCTGGGGTTTTGCAGTTTCAAGGGCACCGAATCATTGCCGGGAGGAAGGAGCTGGAGGTACTGCCTGCCATCTGTGTGCATGAACCTCTCTTAAATGCCCATATTTAAGTGACATTTCTGTTCTCCATCTAAAATCACCCAAGTAAGCCTAAAGTCAAAGGGTTTTCTCATCCTCAGGGAGTTCACAAAGTGCTCAGCCTCTCAGGACCAGGCTCCCATGGGCAAGGCAGGAGTGAGGATCAGGGATGAAGGGACAGCCTCCATCCCATGATCAGAAGCTACTGCAGCAGGTTTGGGGTCAGGGTGAGGTCCCCTCTGTACTGGAAAAGCTAAAGGACAGAAACCCCCTCCTGTCCTCTCAGGAGTACCCGGTGCTCCCCCCAGTCCCCTGGGTGCAGATGTGGGGCTTTGAGTCAGCACCAGCTTAATTTCTCCACATTAACTATTTTTTGTAACTCCTGCAGCATGGACATACCTACTCGCCATTGTATCCAACCAGCTGCACTCAAATCTGACCCACAGGACATATACCTGACAGCAAAACTGCTGCTCCTGGGGGTCCAAGCAATGAACAGAGACAGAAAGGGGGGGGG